CAGTAATTAAAAAACAAGAGTCTCTATTTTTCCTTTCTTTGACAGGAGAATGACTTTGACCGACTGGTCATGCAGTATGCCCCCAGTGCATGAGGACTCAGGGAGGCAAAAACGAGTCTGCGGATCCATGCTATGGTACCTTGGGAATGGGGTGATGTGCAAAGTCTCTCTGGCCTTGTGGACAGAGTTCATTCTACAAGTCGGTCTGGCATCCGTCTCAGCATGGCAGGGTCTTGTGTTTTCAGCAAGCCGATGCCGAGCGTGTATGTAACACATGGAGACGTGTAGCCTAGAAACCTATGTCCTGACTTAACTAGGTTCCAGACTCCTTGTTTCAAATACAGTGCATGTCAAGTGTGTGCAACACTGTACCTTAAACATTTCTAATAAAGCCTTTTGTGGATCGGTGTGGCCCTTCTGCTTTCTATGCTGGAGTTATCTATACGGTGAACATTTCTACTGGATAAAGTGGGAACATTATCTCTCCCTTTCATTGCTGAGCCTCTTAACAGCTACTTTGGGGACATGGGTGGATCCTGAGTTACCACCTTTCAAGGCTGACCCATGAGGCTTTCCAAGAGCATGATGCTGAGCATCTGCTTCTCCCATGGAGTCCAGCACCACTGCCAGCTGCTGCATCTCCCTAAAAGACCCTTTGGAGATAAGACACACAGCTTTCCCTGCCTCCAGGATGTCTGGGGATGCTACAGGTAGGAGGGAAGGGAAGATTCCCCAGAATAAAAGTAGTCACACCCAAAGTACTCTGATTGCAGAGGGGCCAGCCTGGATCTTAAGGTAGTAAAATGTAGTAAGCTCATGACACGGGGACGGGGAAACGTTACATCTTACCGCAACAAAGTCCATATCACAGTATGTGTAAACTCCTTGTTTGATCCTCTGTGCATGTGAGGGCACGCTTGCCCATATTTCATTAAAAGCTAAAGAACTGATCAGCCTGACACACTGTACAGCAAACATGATGTGACCCCAAAAGATTGTACATCTCTGTAACCTAGAGTGCAACTTACGCAGCATGTAATATTACTGCAGAGGTTGCATTATGATGTAATGAACGGTCTGTCGCATCAAACGTGCAAGGGGCAGAGGTCAGCATGGGGTCCTTAGCTGAGACTTTTCCAATGTTTAACTATGTCTGGAGTCTTCTGTTTGCGTCCTGTGTGCAGGCGATACTATGCTGCAAACCTTTCTGGCTGGCATCTCCTTTGTGCCCACCTCAGTTGTGATTGCTCTGAAAGGGCTCATTGTCCCTTTCCTGGGCCTGTTTAGCAAGCAGCTATTTTCAATGGACAGTTATTCATGGTCCAATCTTGAATGAATGTGCTCTTTGTGGAGCCGTCTGCGGCAGATGTGAAAGGGGCTTGTGTTTTCGGTGCAGCCGTTACCCACTTGATGGGCCATGATAAATTGACTTAAAAATTTGAACAATAAAAAACAAGTGGCAGAGGGGAAGCCAGTACTGTCAGTATAAGATTAGGGGAATGTGCTGTCTGTCGGGCCTAGCTAGCAGGATAAATTTGTTTTATCACTGGTGAGTTCCCTGGATTTTCTGTAGTTGATCTGAGGGACACAAGTGTAAAATCTGAGCCATTTCAAAGCAGTGACTTCAAATGGCATCATGCTGATCAATATTTCTTCTCTTTTTCCCTATCAAACCCACCCAGGTTTACAGTTCAACAGGTGAATTTTCCAGGTACAAAGTCCCATGGGTTCTTTCTGCTTCTTGCTTCAACCCCAGTCGTAAGGATCCTGCAACTGGAACTTGGTGTTTGGCTCGATGCATGAGGCACAACAAAACCCCGTTTGCCTTCCTGTTGCTGAAGTTTAATAATTCCGGGCCCTTCTTGAGCGCCTTTTGTTTGAGGTGGTTCTTGTACGTTAGAAACGCAAAAGAATTAAGCCTCCTAGCATTGCTGTGCGTTCAGAGGAACCGTTATTTTACAGGTGGCCTGGGAAAGTTGAGGCAGAGGGATGATGACTAACCTAAGGTCCCAGGAGTCACAGGCAGAGCTAGGGCTCAACTGAGTTCCTGTCCATTCAGTGTTTTATTGTAAACACAAGCCCGGCCTTCTGCCTGGCCTGGTTAACAAAGCTGTGGCTTTGCAATTGTCATAAAGCCAGCGGAACTGACTTCAAGGCCCAGGGAGCTGGTCTGTGGCTGAGAAGGGGCCATTTGCAGACGAAGTGCTGACTCAACCCGTAATGGAAGTACATCGTAGAGTTTGATCTCACTCTGAGACGTACTGTCACATGCCGTAACCTGTGAAATCAGCTGCATGTGCGGAAACTGACTGTAAAGCTGTGTGCCGTTTGCCGTGTGTAAGGGCGCAGGATTGAGCCCTTAATGCCCTGAAGGAGGGTGGGTGCATATTCAGTGGAATGGCTGCTGTATCCACAGCGGCTGTGTAGAGGAGCAGCAGCAAACACGGCGTCTGTTAATCAGATACAGATTGCAGTCTAGCAAAGTGCTCTGTGCTCTCACTCGAATGTTGTCGTCGTGTTGGATAATGGGGAGCAGCAGGTGCTGATCTGACTGCTCAACAGCTGGCTGTTACCTGAGAGAGGTGTGTGAGGGCAGCCTGGCCACCAGGATCCCAGGGCCTGGGAGCCACTTCTGTTTGGGACCAAGTTCGGAACTTCCATGGATGCAAAGGCAGAGCACTCATTTCATGGAGAGGAGGAGAGCCTCTCATGTCAGGAGATGGCCCCATTGACTGGCCATCTGGGGTTTTATGGGGTGGGAGCAAGTAAACGAGTGAAGAATCGGGGAGTGGGGGTTAAGGGTTCTACCTTCATATTGTTCCTAGTGGAGCACAGAAACATCTATCTCGAGTGGTTATTTGATGACTACAGATGTTGGTTTTTAGTTTTAAACATGCACGAGAGACTCGTGTCACTTTCCAGTCTTGTATGTAAACTCCTACCTTGGCAGCTGGCTGGAGTGCTAAACTGACTTGTTTTAATGGCTTTGAAATGGTGTGTTTAGCAAAGGCTTTGTCATCTTGGAAGCCAGATACATTTAAAGCAGGAGGAAGTTATGTTTGCTGTTCTTCAAAGGCATTGTTGGCTATTCGGGACTCCACTATGACTTGTACCTTGTGCTAGACACTTCAGCTGTGCTGTATTTCTTGAGCTTTCCAGGAGATGTGTGGAAGGCAGAGTAAACCAACCTCATTTCTCTGCGCTAAGCTGTCTACTTGGCTGTTATACCTCATGCTAATATGCATCTTCCTTCTGCTCAGAGTATCTTCTTAGCGAGATCTTCTGTGGATAGAGGAAAGCTCAGGGGAAGTCTTCCTGTTGTGTGTATTGATTCACAAAGTATTAAATAGTTAATATTTTATCAAGGACTCTGCACTCATCGTCATTTCAGTCGTCTGTGTCCATGGAAAGCTAAGGGTAATTTCTGGCCTTCACTCCCATGCTGTGAGCGTGCCAAGGAAGAGAGCCGCTCTTGCTACTGCTTTATCATTAATCATCTCCTTTTGATACTCGGATACTGATCTTTGTTTCTGCTTCTTGCTGTTCCCCTAGACATCACCTCTGGTCTCAGCTGGCTAAGGAAGCTGTAACTCCAGGCTATTGTCATGGTTAATGCAGCGACAGCGTAACTGCATTCTGTTTGACCTTTTAGTATTCTCCTGTAATTTCAGTTAAAGTGGATAACTTTTCGATGGGCTCTTTTCAAAAACTGCTGCCCTAGACTCCAGAGGTAGCTACAGCTGTGGTGGATGAAGTGACCCCTCTTTAAACAGGGTGTATCAAGCTCTGAGATCGCTGGGTGCAACCTGGCGCAATAAGTAAATGTCACTCGTTATTCCTCCTCCGTTAGCAATCTGGGCTAAACATGTGCTGAAGGGAAAAACTGAAATCTGTCAACATGAAACCACTATGGGCTGGTCTATATTGAAAAATAGGACAATCCAGCTACATCCCTTGGCGCTATGAAAAATCCACAGCCCCGAGCCACATAGCTAAGATGAATCTGGCCTTGCTGGAGACAGTGCTAGGTCAATGGAAGAATTTGTTGACGTAGCCTCCTGCCTCCTGCGGGAGGTGGATGAACCACCGTGCTGGGAGAACTCCTCCTGTCCCAATAATATTTAGCTGAGTAGGGAGCATTTGGGTGACGGATACTCTAGAGCAGTGGTTCTCAACCTTTCCAGACAACGGTACCTCTTTCAGGAGTCTGATCTCTCTTGCATACCCCAAGTTATGCACTTAAAAACGACCTGCTTACAAAATCAGACCGAAAAATACACATATCACAGCACACTGTTCCCAAAAAATTGCTTACTTCTCCTTCCAGCTGTATGAAATTTTAGTTCCTACTGAAGAAAGAACAGGAGGACTTGTGGCACCTTAGAAACGCTCAAATTTATTTGAGCATGAGCTTTCGTGAGCTACAGCTCCCTTCCTGGGCTGCATCCTGTGCTGACTTTGCTAGTGCTCTGTAGCCCGTTGTAAAACTAGGCAAAGAGCTGGGTGAGTTGATGCACCCCCCGGAAGTCCTCTGTGTACAGCCCTACCCCTGCTTGAGAACCACTGCTGGCGGGGATAAAGCTGGCTTCTAGGCAACAGGGTAGATTACAGACTCTGGACCAATTCAGCAAAAATGACTGGTGCTTGCTGTGGCCCAGTTGAAAAAGGGGGCTGATTTTTGCCCCCTGCCTGAGAGCAAAAGGTTCAGGAAAGCTGCCCCCGGGACCCCCCGCTTTCTCTGAGCAGGTCCATTCTGGGATGCTTTTCCCTCTGGGGCCCTAGGGGCTGGGGAATTTCCCCTCAACTCGCGATAACCAGGCTGCTGGGGGGCTCTGTGCTGCCCTCGCCTCGCCCCTCCCGGCCCCACCTCTCCCCGGGCGCGCTCCAGGGTCGCGGCGGGCTGGGGGTGGCGCATCCCCGGGTCCCGCGCGCGCGGCTGCCCCCTATCTTCAGCCGCCGCCCGGAGCCTGCGCGCTGCGGGCAGCAGCTGGCCGCCGAGCGGGCTGCGGCGCGGAGGCTCGCCGCTGCCGCAGCCATGGGCCGGGGGCGATCGCGCCGCCTGTGACCCGGGGGCCGGGATGCCGCGGCCCGAGCCCATGCCCGGCTACGGGCAGCTGCTGCAGCGCGGCTACCAGAGCCTGGCGGGGGCGGTGCGGAGCTGCACGGACTGCGGCTGGGAGCTCTCCCGGCGGACCTGGGCCGAGAACGCGTCCCTCGCCTGGAGCGAGACCCTGCTCTGCCTGCTCTGTGCCATCGGCTGGACCTTGCTGCGCAGGGCCGCCTCCGGCTGCCTCTTTCGGGTCAGTCCCCGCCCGGCGGGCTGCGCTGCGCTGCACGGGGAGCGGGCGAGGGGCTGCGCTGCACGGGGGAGCTGTGCGTTGTATCTTGCTACTCACCCCCCCGCCGGGGGAAGGAATGAGATTTACGTCTTGCAAAGGGAGGGAGTGGGGGCCGGGCGGGCTGCGGGGCCTGCCTGTCACTAACCTGTCTGCTAAATGGCTCCCCCCCCCCCCGTGGCCCAAGGCTTAGTAGCCGCAATACGGGCTGACCTAGTTCAGGGGCTGGGCTGCTGGTCAGGCTCGAACCGGGTGATCAAGTGGCCGCCCAGGAGGGGAGAGGACGGGGACCGCCCCCCTGTGCAGAAGGGTCGCTCTGTTTGTGCTTATTGCGCTGAAGAAATGTCATGAGATGGAAGCTGCCCCGTCTCCCCAAGGTGTGGGCCCTAGCCCAGGCGAACAGCCCCTGGCTGCCGGGTGTGTGTCAGAGGCTTTTGCTGGGCCAGGGGCGTTGACCCTTCCCTTGCTGAGACTCTCAAGGCAAAAGAGATGGAAGATGCTGCGTCCTGGGTCAGGTGACAAGCCGGAGCCGTCAGAGGCACAAACCGGCGCTGATGGTGACCAGACAGTTTCCAGGGGCTGGGGGGCGTTGGCAGGGGGGGTCCTACCTGGAGACGTCTCCGCTGTGCTCTGCTTCAGCGGGGCTTGGCTCCCCCTGGGGAACTTGCTGTCTCCAGAGGCGATTTGCTGTGGGGTCAGGCAGGCTGCAGGGAGCAGCACTGTATTAATAACCATGGTCCATCCTCAGCCCAGTAACTGCTCTGGGCTCCTGTCCCCCCACCTCGCCATCGCACAGGGAGGCCTTCCTGACCGAGCCATTCCCTCGTGTCCTTGCTTGCTCTGTATTGAGTCACAGAGTGAAGCTCGCCCTGGTGCCAAGAACTAGCACAAGGCCCAAAGTGCTCAAAATAAGGGTGAGGTAGGACTTCAGTAGCCTTGGGCTGCCTTTTTGTCCCTCTTCTCCCTGCTGCCCCGTTTGCCCGGAGCTAGGGTTGCCAGGTTTGGTTGGACGTATCCCTGGAGGTTTCATCACACCACGTAAGCTTTAATGGAAGATTCGTCTTTAATTCCTGGGGGCTCCAGGACAATCCTGGAGGGGTGGCAACGGTACACGCAGCACCTGGCTATCTCTGGATACCCCAGTGGCTAGGGGACTGGCTGGGAGACAGGACTCCTGGAGTTTAATCCCAACATGGTCACACAGTGTGATCTTGAGCAAGTCACTGAGCAACTGTCATTGTGCCTCAGTTTCCCCTCTGTAAACTGAGTGCCCCCTCCCCTTTGTAAAGTGCTTCCGGATCTGAGGGTGAAAAGTGCAGTAGGAGTGCTGTGCATTGTTGCTTAGCTGGTGCTCCATGGGTAATTGGCAGCTCGTGCTGACGATGGGGTGCCATCCCTTGGTCCCGCTTGTTGTCACCGAAGCATGAGAAGGGATGAGCAGAGAGCCAGTTCTCGTGGCTACCTCGGGATCGTGCTGCTTTGCCTTGAAATACTGCCACAGAGTTTGATGTGAGGCTGAGATGGGAAACGGAGCCGTGGGAGGGTCAGTTTCCCATCTGTGGGCAGGAGGGGGAGGAAACGGCTTTATAAAAACATCCAAAGCCTGTGTGTGGTTCACGTGCTGGAGATTTAAGGGGGAAATTGGAGGGGCTGGCTCTTCCCGAAGAGCGTTGCCATTTTTAACGAGAGTTGGGCTGCATCTTGTGGCATCTCTCTGAGCTGGAGGCTGTTCAGAGGAGGGGTCGTTCAACAGTAGGTGAGTAGAGGCTTTCTCCTCCTTCGTCACTCTCAGGACTCTTCCATCTGCTGCTTGCCTTTGGGAGTAAACTCCTTCTATGCAGTCACTCCCCAGTGTAGAACCCAAGTGCAGTTGTTCCTCTTTGCCGGTTGTGTTTGTCTCTGGCAATTAATCCTTTAACGTTCTCTCAGAGACTGAAAGGCTCATCCCTGTGAAATCAATTAATTCTTTGTGTCCCAAGAATGCCGCCTTACTGAGCATTAATCATTATATGTCATAGATCTCGGCACTTGGCCTGTAACTGCTATGCACCTAAAGAGGAAGTCACTTTCTTAGCAGGAGGACTTGAAGATTGTGGCTTAAAATGCATCTTCATTTAGCTCTGGCTGTGACAGATAGCTCTGAAAAAAGCTGCTTAAAGAAACACACCTCTTCCTGTTACATGCATCACCTGGAGCACCCATTGTTTTCACTGGGCGTTTAGAGTGTGCAAGGAGTGCAGAATCTAGGTTCCCAATGTCTTTAGAGGGCTCTGGTAACATAGCATTTATTTGTAGGCCATGCCCTTGCTCCGTAATATATCGGAGAGATTGACTGGAAGAGAGGTAAAGTGGGTGGAAGGGGGAGGGACAGCGAGTGGGCTGTGGAGGATGGGGACTAGCATGGACTTTAGCTGTTGCAATTGTCAGATTTGTATCTGTATTGTCCATGTGGATTTTCCAAAGTGATCCTTGAAATGAAGATAATTATTTTGCCCGTTGCCCTCTTGGTATCCAAACTGCAATATCCAGCTAGGAAGGTGGGATCGTTTCTGTCCAGGAAAGAGGTGAACTCAGTCAGCTGAGCTCTGGGAACCAGCACATGTCAAACCAATCTAACATCCTTCTTTGACAGGGTGTCAAACCTGGGGCTAGGGAAGAAGCAGTAGATGTGATCTATCTCAACTTTAGTACGGCTTTTGATACCATCTCACACGACCTTCTCATAAGCAAACTAGGAAAATATAGCCTAGACAAACTTCTTGTAGGTGCATGCACAACTGGTTGGAAAACTGTACTCAGAGAGTAGCTATCTATGGCTCACAGTCAAACTGGAAGGGCATATCAAGTGGGGTCCCCTAGGGATCTGTCCTGGGTCTGGTTCTGTCCATAAATGATTTGGATAATGGCACAGAGAGCACACTGATAAGTTTGTGGATGAAAGCAAGCTGTGAAGGGTTGCAAGGACTGGATTAGAATTAAAAATGATCTGGACAACTGGAGAAATGGGCTGAAATAGAGTGAAATTCAATAAGAACAAATGGAAGGTACTACACTTAGGAAGGAACAATCAGTTTCACAAATACAAACTGGGAAATAACTGTCTAAGGTGGAGAACTGCCGAAAAGGATCTGGGAGTTATAGTGGATCACAAGCTAAATATGAGTCAACAATGTAATATTGTTGCAAAAAAGCAAACATCATTCTGAGATGTATTACCAGAAATGTTGAAGGCAAGACACAAGAAGTAATTCTTCTGTTCTACTCAGCACTGATAAGGCCTCAGTGGGAGTATTGTGTCCAGTTCCGGACACCAAGCTTCAGGAAAAATGTGAACAAATTAGAGAAAGTCCAGAGAGCAACAAAAATGATTAAAGGGCTAGAAAGATTGAAAAAATTGGGTTTGTTCAGTCTGGAGAAGGGAAGGTTGAGGGGCGACAGAACAGTCGCCAAGTATGTAAAAAGTTAAGAGGAGGGTGATAAATTGTCCTTGATAACCTCTGAGGACAGGACAAGAAGCAATGGCCTTAAATTGCAGCAAGAAAGGTTTAGGTTGGACATTAGGAGACACTTCCTGTCAGGGTGGTTAAACACTGGAACAAATGAGCTCGGGAGGTTGTGGAATCTCCATCATTAAACAACACCTGTCAGGGATGGTCTAGATAACACTTAGTTCTGCCTCAGTGTTGGACTGGACTAGAGGACCTCTCGAGAGCCCTTCTAGCCTGACATTCCTATGAGCGATCAGTTCGGGCGGGGTCCAGGGGACAGTTTTCTCAGCCTGCGGGGCGCCCATGAGAAAGTGGGAGAGGAAATGTTTCTTGTCTGGTGTGGCGTTTCTGTAGCCTTCTGCCTCTTCTCTAGGAAATGGAAGGAATCTTCATCCTCCGTTAGTGTCAGTGGCAGGGCCTGGCTGCTGAGTGTCTCCTGGATGTGTCTGACCACACGCAGGTCTAGTGAGATGACCAGGCCAGGCCTAGGCCTCCTCTCTGCCCCCTCTCTCCCCACCCCATACAGTCTCTTTGGTGGCCCTCACTCAGCTGGTCTGTGGAAGGCTGCTGTCCTGGTGGGGAGCAAGCCCTCCTGAGGGAGCAGCTGCTGCCAAAGGCCTGGAGGAGCTGGAGGAGTTGAGCAAAGCATCAGCCTATGCCGCACTAAATGACATTAATTTAATAGCCCAACGGGAAGCCAGGGCTGTGCCCGTCATGCGGTTCTCTGTACCCAGCATAGGGCAAGGGTGTCCTGCCTTGATGAGGGCACTTGACACGGTGCCTGGTAGCCCATCAGGCCTGTACTAGATGCTCCTCTTGCAAGCAGGCCCAGGGGCTGTGCACGGATGTAAACGAGGGCAGAACAGGGCTACTGTTGGCTTTGTGGCCAGTCGTGCATCGGGGGCTGGTACTAGGGTGACATAGAAAGAAGGAGCCCTCGAGTGGTCCTTTTATTTTTTTTTTTTTTAATTAAAAAAAACCCCCACTGTTGAAGGTGGAAAACTAGCTGCTGTGAGCTAAAATCCAGGGAACATCCTGTGAGAGAACTGACCCAGGCTAAAAGCAGGCAGTATTTGGGGCACATTACCAGAGAAGGAGCGTGAGAAATCCCGGTCTGGAGAGAAAGCTTGAAGATGGGATTGAGAGACTCTCGTATTCTGGTGCTAAAACCAGAGCAGATCCTAGATAGACCCGTGGAAAGGGTGGACCCGCACGCTCTCCTTCTGTTCCCGCTCTCTTTCAGGGGGCATGGAGCTGCTGTCTCTCAGATGAGATATAAAACCTAGGTTCCAACCACTTAGGGCTCTTAAAGGCCCTGTGGTAATTTCCACAAGAATTAGAAGTATTGACCCCTGGGTCCTGGCCAACGTGAATACCTGACCCTGCCTCGCCCATTGCACCTTGTGAAGTTTGTCAGATATTCTCCGTTGCACGTCCGAAACTGCTGTCTGGCATTTCTGTGCAGCTGCTACACGCCTTCCACCTCGTGGCCCAGATGCGGCTGGTTGATCCCCGGGTGGTTCTAAATTTGCAGAGCGCTACAACGTGCATTGCAGTGAAAGGTGCAAACAGAAAAAAGGCTTCCATGCAACTTACGCAATGTGGCTTGCGAGCCTGAAAGCCTCCCTTGGTGCCGTGAATGGATGGTGGCCACCTAGGCTGGGATGCAGCATTCGCTTCTTCAGGCTCCCCGCTCTGCTGGCTTTTCTAGTGAAGTGCTTTGTGCCTCAAAGAGCCAGATTCTTCCCAGGCCCCAAAACATTCACGGGAGTGAGTTCTCAGTCCTGCTTTCCTCCTGAGGTTGCAGGGCCACTCACAGCAAACCAGCAGGCCAACCCTCCAGCAGTAGTTGCCTTGGGAGCCATGAGCAGCCTGGAGTGCTTCCTTCCTGCAGTGCCCATGAGTGTGAACTGCTCCTCGGCCCTCTCAGGGTGAAGAGAGCAGCTCTCCTGTGCCCGGACAGTGGTGCCCTCTCGCTCGTGTGCCGTAGCCGCCATGCGCAGGCCTGTGAAGCCACGAGGAGAAAGCCACAATGGGCCGTTTCTTGTGGAAGAGAATGAAGCCATTTTCCTTGGGTTCCAGGGCGGGGGCTGGGTTTCACGTGCTGTGTCAGCGTTCAGGCAGGAGCTGAGCCGTGCTGCTTGGGAGGCTAATCAGCCCCCACAGGGTGCAGGAGGGAGCTGTGCCTGGCCTCCCGAGGGTGCCCGCTCCAAAGGCTGTTCTCTTCTGTGTGCAGACGCGTGAGCGAAGGGGAAATGGCTTTTAATGATTTGTGGGAACTGTCATGATATTTCTCACTGTGTTTTTGAAAGCCTTCACAGCACCCCGAGGAGGCAGGTGAATGGTATCTCTGTTTTCCAAGTGGGGAAACTGAGGCACAGAGCAGCTCAGTGACTTGCCTAAGTGCATAGATAGTGTTGGTGTCAAGAGCAGGATGAGACCGTTGGGGGTTCCTCAGGCCTGTGCTCAGACCACACCCCTCCCTAGATTGTTTAGCGAACGCCTTAGATAGCGGGGCAGCTGGTTCAACGGGTATTATCTTCAGGCTTTGGGGACCCATTTCTCTGGGTAAAAGGGGGGTGCAGTCGTGTTTCATTTTCCTTCCGCTGACCCTGTGAGACCTGCACCAGATGCATAGCGAGGAAACCACTCCAGTGTGCCCCAGAATTCCAATCGTCGTCCTGTGGCATGTTCCCCACAATCCTAGAAGAGAGTATCCTGGGGACCAGTGGAGCTTGGGGGATGCCCAGGCAGGGGCGTTGTAGCTTGGGATTAAGGGGCAGCAGCAGGGCATGGGGGAGGCCCAGGCCTGTAAGCAATAAGGGTGCTGTGGTAGGGCTGTGTGTGGGAGCCAAAGCCCTGGCCGCCAATGGAAACCTGTTACTCTGGTATCTTCTACCGTGGGGAAAGCAAAATCCATTGAAAGCTGCCAGTTCCCAGGACCTGAGGGCACTGGGTGCCAGGCATTCCCTTTCATTCCTCTGGAGACCTCTTTGGGCTCAGGAAAGACACAGCACAGCTGGGACTTGACTAGTCTCTGGGCTCGGTAGTATGATTCTCCTTCATTAGCAAGCCTCGATTCATAACGCATCGCTGAACATTGGTCACAGGGCTGGGGGGACTAGGGGGCTGCCTCTTTCTAAGTTTCTTCCATGGCAGATTTGAAAGGACCCTGTCAAATCCCATCCCTCTAGCACTGGAGACGATTACGAGAGAGAGAGGGATATTTTTAATTTCCTTTTCACCCTGGAAGTTTCTGAGGCCTCAGTGAAGTCTTGATCCATTTCATGTTTCTGTTTGTTTTCACTTTCTGGTTCCCAGGGTTGGAGTATGGAGTAAGATGTGTTCCTGGAGCCGACACTGGGGGGAATGCTGCAGAAGACCGTTTATATCCCCCCGCCCCACCCCTATTTTCAGTTTGGGGATGTGGGGGAGCAGTGAGGAGGTTCCCAAGCCAAAATCTTGCATCCAGCTTTACAGCAGTGGCCCTTTAAATGCAGCCACATTACATCACTCACCAGAACCTGGGGCTCTTTCAGCCAGAGCCCGCAATGCATTGTTCCTGCTGCAGCACCCGTTGCTCAGCAACACGGGCATCGCTCTGTCATTGCTATGGCAACAGCAGCGGGCTGATGGCAGAGAGGGTGCCCCCCACCCCCGCATGCGCCCCACCCCAGAATGAAGAGAAGAAATTGGTGACTGCCTGGCGTGGCAGTGGGAGCCAGACTCCTGCTTCATCATTCATGGGCTGGTTGGCTGCGTGCAGGACCTGCTGATGCACATCTGGGTGGGTGGCCTCAGCATGCCCGTCTAGGCTGTGGGCAGCCAGATCCGGGGCTGCCCCAGCGACCAGCATCCCCTGGTGTATTATTCAGAGGCAGTAATTTTACCCCTCCTTCTCCTGGCCTCCTCCAGCCCTTCTGCGTAGGGTCTGGACTCTGTGCAGCTCTCCGTGTTCTGCTGTGTCCCACCCTCATTCTGCTACGCATCTCACCCCAAAGCCAGCTGCTGCTTGCGATTTCACAGAGGGCTCTGTCTAGAGACAGCATGGGCAGGTCTCGGTCTGGGGTGCTCAGTTCAGGGTCAGAGTTCGCCATGCAAAAAAGCGTGGGAGTCTTCACTGGAAACAGAAGGGAGAGGAACAGCGTCTGTAGGGGGCTTGCCCCTGCTCTGGAGGGTGGATTTCCTCCTTGGCTGTAGGTGGCGATTCCACCGTACCCTCCCTGATGTGGCGACAGCCTCTTCCTTCTGAGATCCCAGAGCCAGTTCTCTCTCTGCCTACTTCCCCGGCTCCATAGTGTCTGAACGCCTCAGCCTTTGATGGGTTTGTCTGCAGCCCCCCTGGGAGGTAGGACAGTGCCACTGTCCAGTTGTACCAATAGGGGAAACAGAGGCAAAGAGAGACAAGGGAGGCAGCCCAAGGAGGCAGCCCAAGTCTCCTGCACCTCTGCCATGATGATCAGTGGGCCAGCCAAAGGAAGGAACTAGGCTCTCAGGTTCTCTGCCCAGTCCCTGCTCCATTAGCACATGGGGCCTGCTCGCGAGTTGAGCTGTCTCCAAATGGGGCTTATTTGAGCTCCCTTCTGGACTGCATTTTATGGAGCCACAAATAATTCCTGGCTTCCAGGGGTTGGGACTCCCTGCCAGTGCATTCTTCACCCTCCCTTAATGCAGCCGCTCCCCCTGCTGCAGTGTGGTGCTTTGAGTGGGGCAGCCCTGCCCTGCATGCAGGATCTGGGGGTGGGCAGGGGCTGATGGAGGCACAGACGGAATGGCTGGGGGCGGGGGGGGGGGAGCTGCGGGATCTTGCCAGTTTCAGGGCATTCTCTGGACTTGGGTGTTGTAAAGCTGGTGCTTCCACCCCGGGAGCAACTGGTGCTGTGAACTCGTCAGCCTTCCGCGTTTGGAAGGGAGCCTTTTGCATGCATCTCTCTCCCCTGTCATGCGCAGAGAGGGGCAAGCGGCTGGGCCAGCCACCTCCACTGAACAGCTGGGGTCTTAATATAACCAAGGAGCCAAGCCACCAGCTCTGGAAATTGCTGCTCCGGGGAAGGGTATGGTTACTTGGCAGGCAGTTTATTTCCCTCGGGAGCTCATCCGGTGTTTCTCCGTGGCACGCTCTGCTCAGCATGGGCCTTGGTGCATTATCCATTTGTCGGGGAGTAACCGAGCCAGACGCCCACTAGCTGTCCGCTCCCCCAGCACGCACTACCCCAGACACGCCCTTGCTCCCACTTCTCACAGGAGTGATGGTGTCTGCGACTCCAGGATCTTCCGTTTGGCCCAAGCCCCTATCAGATGTGAAGGTTCTTTTGCACACGCTGGCAGCCCATTCACAGGGCACTCAGGTCACCTTACAGCCTCACCCCCTGGGTTTCTTAGTGCAGACAGGACTCTGGATTTATTAATTTTGAATTCCCTCCCTGGTTGCAGAAGGCTGACTGGGGCCAGCCCTGCTCCTCAGGGAGTGACCCTGATGGGCATATGGAGGCTGCGTGCCTTTGGCTTTTGCTTTCTCCACTGCACAGCTCCTGCTGTGGCCAAGTCTGAGCCGGATGGAAACCTGAGCTTTCTTTTCTCCCGCTCTGGCTGCCTGCCGGGGCTCCCTTCCCACCCTCCCTCACCCTCCTGGAGCAGTGGAAGGAGCCTGAAAAGTTTGGGCAGGTTAAGTCAGGTTCTGGTCCCTGTTTTCACTCCTTTCTGGTGGAGAGCAGGGGGCTGGAAAGATTCTTTATGAATGTTCTTCCCATCTGTTTGTTGCCAGAGAAGTTCCAGGACCATGAAGTCTGGTTTTTCCTGGTGTGGTGGAGAATCCTGTCAGTGTCCCACCGTCACTGAGGCTACAGGGGGCATGGATATTGCACAAAGACATCCTTTCGCCCACATGTTCATTAGGCATCTGAGTTAACGAAACCACAGTATTTGGGGCAGTCAAGCGGAAACTCCCATCTCCATCCCGTGGTTGTGTCCCTCTCCTGTGAGCTGTGTCACTGGTTCCCACAGTGCACGGGGGGAATCCCAAACTCCTGAGCTCAGCGACACCGGGCATCTCAGGCTCTGTCCTGTGGCTTGTGTTTGGGGGGCATGAAGCTGAGCCAAGGAGCTGGCCTCAAGGACTTTTTGCTGAGTTATAAACATGGCACCCCAGCCCCTGGACCTGAGTAGCCCCCTTGTGCCCTGGGTGTGGGGACCTCTGGAGCCAGGTCTGTGTGTGCAGAGGACTGGGGGGAGCTGCAGTGAATCTCCCAGAGCTGCATCCTTGCTATGAGGCACAGTCCGGGGGTGCTGCTCTCCTCCTCCCTGAGCCCTGCATCTTGTCCCCTCTCTCCCGGCAGCCGTTCGGGGAGTGGTGTAACCTGCAGCCAAAAGATGCTGCCAAGATGCCCGAGAGCGCCTGGAAGCTGCTGTTCTACACGCTGTCCTGGTCATACAGCGCCTACCTGCTCTTCTTCACTGAGTACCCCTTCTTCCACGACCCGCCCTCCGTCTTTTATGGTACATAAGCGCCACGGAGAAGAAGCTCAGATGCTAATGCCCAGAAGGCAGGGATGGTGTCCCTGGCCTCAGTTTGCCAGAAGCTGGGAATGGGCGACAGGGGATGGGTCACTTGATGATTCCCTGTTCTGTTCATTCCCTCTGGGGCACCTGGCATTGGCCACTGTCAGAAGACAGGACACTGGGCTAGATGGACCTTTGGTCTGACCCAGGCTGGCCGTTCTTATGTTCTTAACGGATCAGCATCTCCAATGGTCAAACAAAGGAGCCGATGTCGAGGGCAAATCCGTAGATTAAGCTCCCCAAATCACTTTCCTTGTGATGCCAATGACTTGTGAGCTCAGGAACTGTCCATGAGCGTGCACTGGCCTAGCCCGTGGGACCCTGCTCCCCTGGGCAGTGCTCCAGCGCTCTGAGCATGCTGGACTGGCTGTGGGGGCAGGTGTCCGTGCAGGGCTCACGCAGGGATCTCCGTGCTGCTCCTAGGTTGGGAGAAGGGTATGGATGTACCCACCGACATTGGCATCGCCTACTTGCTGCAGGGCAGCTTCTACGGACACTCCATCTATGCCACTGTGTACATGGACGCCTGGCGCAGGGACTCCATAGTCATGCTCATCCACCACGTGGTGACACTGATGCTCATCGTCTTCTCCTACACGTTCAGGTGAGCACCCCCCGGCCCTGTCCGGCCGCCTCCCACTGCCCTCTGCACACAGCGCGCTCGCATCTGTGCTGGGCAGCCGCTGGGCAGCCACTGGGCAATGCAACAGCCGCTCCACACCCAGCTATGGCTCACACTGCCTCTGGGCTCCCTGAGAGGGACTCGGAGCTTGTCCCTTGCTCTGAGCTGCCCCACAGTGCTCCAATTGGCCCCAATGCAACCCCCCAGCTCTAATATGGTCCACCCAGTGCCAGGCCATCCAGCACTGTCGGTCTGCGTTTCATGGAGCCAGCTGCTCCGATACACTCTGGCCCTGGCATAGGCTCACCGCCTACCCCTGACCTGATGTGCACGGCCCTGCTCACAAACACACAACGCACGCACGCACGGTCCCTTCTCCCTGCAGGTTCCACAACGTGGGGATTCTCGTGCTCTTCCTGCACGACATCAGCGACGTGCAGCTGGAGTTCACCAAGCTCAACGTCTACTTCAAGCACCGGGGTGGGATCTATCACCGGCTCAACGACGTCATCTCCGACCTCGGCTGCCTCACCTTCAGCATCAGCTGGTGAGCTCCTGCCCCTGCCCCGCTCCAGCCCCCATCCCCGCCCCTCCCTGGTGCCACCTTGTCATTCCCAGTGGCCCGGGTGTTTAGGTTCGCCTGGGGGACGTGGCCATGCTGTGAGCTGGCTGGGCTGGGGGGTCCCTCCTGCGGCCGTGGAGATGATGGTGATCTCACACACAGAACATGGCCACACCAGGGCAGGCGGAAGGAGGAGCTGGCTCCAGGCCCCTTCACAATCCGGCTCTGGCAGCGAGAGTGGCTCAGTGTCAAGGAGGGGAAGGGAGGGAGACGGGGTCCTGCTCCCATCACAGCCCCTCTTGGGCCAAGGCAGGGACAGGTTTGGGCAGGAAAACCTTGGTTGGAAGCCAGGGACCAGCGGCTGGTTCAAGTGCTTCATCCCAGTACTTGCCTCTTTTCTCCCTCTGTCCCCTGGCACTGCCATGCGGGGGGCAGGAGGGCAGGGACACACTGTCCGGACATAGACCCGAGGTGTGTGGAGGGGCAGACGTGCCATTGATGGGCTTGTAGCAGCAGCTTGCGGACCTTCCCCTCTGTCCCAGGACAGTCTCTTTACTGGTTTCAGAGGAACAGCCGTGTTAGTCTGTATTCGCAAAAAGAAAAGGAGTACTTGTGGCACCTTAGAGACTAACCAATTTATTTGAGCATGAGCTTTCGTGAGCTACATCTGATGAAGTGAGCTGTAGCTCACGAAAGCTCATGCTCAAATAAATTGGTTAGTCTCTAAGGTGCCACAAGTACTCCTAGTCTCTTTACTGCGTCACCCCACTTAGCAGCCACCCTCAGGGTCTGAGACGCGCCTGCCGGCCACAGGTGGAAAGCCCCTCAGTGACTTCGTGAAAATCCAGCCCTCCTGCCAGGAGACAGCCAGATATGGGGCAAGGGGCTAGATCATGTTGCCTGGAAGTGTGTGGGGGGGATGCTCATCCCTGGGCCCCTCTCTGGGGGGCTCCCCTCAATGCCACTCAACCCACCCCCCCGCCCTCTGTGTCTGTCCTGGCAGGTTCTGGTTCCGCCTCTACTGGTTCCCCCTCAAAGTCCTCTACGCCACCTGCCACACCAGCCTGCAGTCTGTGCCCAACATCCCCTTCTACTTCTTCTTCAACGCCCTGCTCTTCGCCCTCACCCTCATGAACGTCTATTGGTTCCTGGTGAGTAGGGGCGGCTCAGGGCCCCCACACAGCCCCTGCTGCTGGGGGGCCGAGCTGGAGCCCCTGGGGGCACGTGTGGTTGGGGGGGAAGGGGAGGGATGGAAGCACAAGGTAATGCAACCCCCCCCCCCCCCAGCCGGAGTTCCCACCGCCTGGAGGGAGCATGAGCACTAACAGCCGCTGCGGGGCGTTTCCTGGGGCTCCAGACCCTGATGGGAAGAGCTGGAGATGGACGGGGGAGAGAGAGGCTGTCAGTGCGGGGAAGGGGGAGTGAGAGCCGGGGCAGGGACTGCTGTCTCCCAAAGGGGTCCCATCAGCCAGGCTTCCCCAGAGCCCGCAAGGCAGAGCTGGGGCTGGCGTGGGGGGAATCAGGACTAAGGCCTGGGCAGGAGGCTGTGCTCCTCCGTCCGGTCCTTACTGCATGGCTGCTGCCTGCTTCCCTCCAGCCTCCCTGTGGGCCGAGGGTCCCACAGCTCCTCCCAGCCGTTGGGGAACTGGGGACGGGGCTGGGGCAAATCTTGGAGTCTTGTGCTGGGCAAATCGATTTGGGGGTGGGGCTGCAGCTGGGGCATGATGGGTAATTTGTACTCAGAGCACTCTTCAACCCAGCTCAATTGGTTTGGAGCTGTGCCCTCCCCCCCCCCGCACACCTATTATCTTGTGCATGTGGGTGTGTGTGGGGGCGGTGTCCATTGATCCTGGCCCCAGTCTCAGCGGTGGATCTCCAGCATGGGGGTGGGAGGCGGTGTCTTTCTGGGCTCCCTTCATCTGCTGCTGGAATCTCCCACTATGTCCCCCAGGATCCCACTCCCTCTGCTCCCCCCCTCCAGGCACCGGGCTCCCAGCCTGGCATGCTCATTCCAGGAGCCCACTAGCCCAGGGAGTCGCTGCTTTCAGACCAGCCTCCCGGGACAAGCGGGGCAGCCCCCAGGGCAGAAGTTAGCTCCAGTTAGTGGGTGAGTGTGTTGGGTGGGAGGGCTGAGTAGGGACCGTAGCCAGTGGGGTCATTGCCTGGTTCCTGTCCCTCCCCAGTACATCGTCCTGTTCGTGGCCAAGGTGCTGACAGGGCAGATGCAGGAGGTGAACGACGTGCGTGAGTACGACCTGGAGGAGAGCGAGAAAACCACAGGGCCCCGGAAAGTGGGCGAACTCCAGCTGCCCAAATCCTGGAAAGAAGGGTGAGCAGGGGGCAGGCCCAGCGCCCCCCAGTGGGGAGAGGGGGCAGGGACACAGCAGCGAAGGAGGCTGGGAATGCTGCGGGTGGGTGAGGGAAATGTTCACTATGGATAAACCCCCATTGGGTCCCGGAGTCCTGGGAACAACGGGGCCTGTAAGACAAGACACTTCTCCACGTGCTGGGGGTCAGTGATGGGGCTGCAGGGGGGTGAGTCTGTGCCAGGTGAGAGCACAGGGGCTGGATCCCTGGCTACAGGCCATAAACTGGTTGCTGGTGGGGTCAGGAAGGAATCATCTGTCTGCCTGTCTGTCTATCTGGCCATCCCTCTGTCCCTTCCCATACACCTCTATCCATCCCTCCCTCCCACCAGTCGCTCAGGCCTGGCCCCGCTGCATTGTAGCGGGGTTCCCCTTGCACCTGGCGTTGGTGGAATGGGCTGAGGGTCTTGTCCAGCCTGGTAGGAGGTGGCATGCCAGACATGATGGGCTGATGTGCTGGCCCCCCACCTCATTCCTTGGGTCACGCTCAAACCTGCGGCGTGCTCCCATCACATAGGATCGAGGCTGGGTCTACGTGGAACGGAGGGACATGTGGGTCTGAGCTGCGGGGTGACCCCAGGGAGGGGGTAAGTGATGGCCAGGAGGAGGGGCTGGTCCAAATATGGGGGCGTCATTTTCTGCGGTGGTCTCTTTCGCAGGAAACACCTGAAGAACGGGCTGATAAAGGACAAACGGTTATAAGGGAACCGCTGTTGACTGGGCAGCCTCTGGGGACTGACCCGGGGCCCTCCACAAACCCAGTGAAGGAGAGAGCCCTGTGGAGAAGGCGTGCAAGACCCCAACCCCCCTCAACCTCTGCCTGGAGCTGGGGAGCAGCTGGCAGCTGACGGAAACAGTCCACTCCTCTCGGCTCAGCTCTGGCCAGGCTCCAGTTGATCCTGACGTGGTTTCTGGAGCCAGTTTGCACTGGGCACCCTGCAGGCTGTTGGACGGGTCGGCTGAGATGGGGGGTGGTTTTCCTAGCAAGGTCCAGGTCAGATATGGAACTTGCTTTCGGTTACCTGGGATCTCCCGTGCCACCCCCACCCCTTCGCCATCCTCCCTCTCTGTGATTTCCCCAGACCTGGCAAGTTGTGGGATCCCAGGCAGCTCTTGTCTCTGGAGCACTGACTGACGCTGTGGAGCGGGTGAGGGGCTCGAAGCAGGGAGGCAAACGCCCGTGCCCCTTCGGCACCAGTGTCCCAACTGTTTGTAGCTTGCAAACAGGGAATGGCGACATACCGTTAGGGAGACGTGTTGTGCTGCTTTGAGCCCTGCTGTAAGTGCATCCGGGGGTTACTCCACAGAGCAACCCAAGCCCCTGCCTGGAACCCACCCGTGCCAGAGCCTGGAGGATTCTCCCAGGAGGTGCAGCGGGCAGCAGCCTCCTGAGGCTGATCAGACAGGCCTGCCGTCCGGCCGCTGCTCCTTTAACCCCTTAGGAGGCCAGTGCCTGGGATCGGAGAGATAAGGGACAGCTGCTCCCTCTAGGGTCTCCTGCCTTGATGAATCCTCTGGCCTGAGAAACCTTCTCTGGCTAAAACAAAGGACTCACTGAAGCCCTGAGTGATGCGGTTTTCCAGGCCGTGCCAGTTCTGAGCTTTGCATCCTGCAGGCTGGGCTGCGCTGCGTGCGTTTCCGCTCAGTGGGAAAGAAACCCTGTGGAATTTTGCACACATCCCTCCCCCTGGATCTGGACTCATCCCATCGCAATACTACGGCAGTGTCGGCCCTGTGCCCACTGCCTGCTCCTCTCTGAGGGACCTAACTCCAAGCCAGGGGGACAATAGGACACTGATGGGAATTGCAGCTGGCCTGCCAAGGGTTAATCCAAACTGGCAGGGGGTGAGGGGCTGCTTGTTTTTCCTGTCCCTTGCTTAGATGCAAACCCCAGATATTATGCTGCATAAGCCACAAAGAGACTCCCTGGAAAGCATCTGAGACTGGGAGGTAACATAAAAACATGACCCAGGTTGTTAGAAATCCCCCAGTTCTGGCTGGGTCTGCCAGTCTCCCCCCAGCCAGCCGAACTAGACAGGACAGGAAATTAAACATCCCACCCACTGTGTGCTTCTGTTCCCTGACTTTCAGACTAGGTTTTGCATGGGGTTCAATGGGGAAACAAATACTGTAGGGCCTGATCCTGCTCTCATTCCTTGTGGTGTAAATCAGGAGTGACTCCACAGACATCAGGGGACTGCAGATGGTGTCTAACCAGCAGGAGTGTTAAATTTGGTAACTTGTAGTTCAAGCAGGGCCTGTGCTTTAAAAGCAGCTGGCTGCTCTAGGGCCCGTTAGCAGCTGCAGCTGTGCGAGCAGGCAGGTTCAGCGAGGAGAGGCAGGGTTGAATACTGACGCGTGGCTGACCCAAATGCTGGGGCAGGCCTGGGCGTCGTGCGGCCGTTGCTGCAGGGTTCTCTGGCAGGTTTCCTAGGGATCTGTGTCCTGCTCTGGACAGATGAGTTGAAGAGTCAGGACAGAGCCAGCTGCAGCAGGACCACTTGTGTGCTGGTTAACTGGCCCGACTCTCTTGGGGATTGAAGGGCCAGTCCACCCTGGCCCTGCACCGTGCAGCGGCAGTTACACCTGTGCAAGAGTGGCTGCTGGATCAGAACCGTCCCCTTGCCACCAGCATGCCCACTTTGCACAGGGGTGATCGCGGGACCGGGCAGGGCAGGGCCAGGATGGGGCGTTGAGTCTGCAGCCAGCTTAAATGTTTAGTCTGGTTAAACAATAGACCCACTGATGCAGATGCAGCCAAAGCTCAGCCCAGGAACTGCAGCCCCCAGCTTGCAACGCTCTGTTCCTGAGGGGCCAGGCGTGGGCTCGGTGGGATGCAGCAAGCGATGGGCTGCTCCCTGCATTGCAGCTGGATGGCTTATTTTCCTTTTATAATTTAATTCCCGCACTCCACTGATTAGCTCCAGTCACAGGGTGCTCCAGGGCCTGGCCAGGGCAGGGCTGGCACGGGATGAGCAGGCTTTGTTGTAGATACCGGGTATGTCTTTCGCTCGGCAGGGAACCAGTTGACAAGGTTGGTGTGGAAGTTAACAGCCCATCAGGTTGGATGGCAGGGCTGGGGGAGCGACAGACAGTCAGGAGGTGCCATTGGTGGGGGATGGGGATGTGGGACCCTGATCACTGCAGAATTGTGGATCTCAAGGGAGGAAACTTCACACATGGCCGTCTCCTTCCCCAAGGCACCAAGCCGACACCCAGACAGGCTGGGTGCCTTACAAGTGTGGCAGGAGAATGGCCTCATTCCTGTCTCCAGGGAGGGTTTGATGGTGGGCAATGCAGGGAGGAGATGGGGTGGGGGGCTTTGTGTGCTGATGCCCAGGAAAGGCCAGTCTGGAAGCCCCCAGTGCAGGCTACGTGGGACAGCGCAACCCGCCTGCCCTGGTTTAGTGGTGATGCCAGAGCACAGCTCTGGCCTAGCTAGGGTCTGGCCATTGCCCCTGTGAGCACCTGGCCAGCTGGCTCCTATGCAGCCCCCTCCCACTCTCCGTCCGCCTGCCACATGCAGCGGCCACGGTCCCCCCATCTCTCTCCTGCTGTGGGCTGCTGTCTTCTCAGCGGGGTGCACTGGAAAGGCCCGGGGATGCTCGGTGGGCTACAGCCAGCATAAGGCCTCAAGGTGGCTTTACGCTGCAGCCGGAGATGCAAAAACCCTCCATCGCCCCCCCCCCCCACGTCCCCCCCAGCCATGGGGCAGCTGAGCCAGCATCAGGGCAGCCCTGTCCTGCACTCAGCTGCTTTCCCTGGGGGTGACTGTGTGGGGGTGGCCCGGGCAGGGCTAGGTCAGTTCTGCCCGCTCAAGGGCAGCACATCCCGTGCATGGCCCAGCAGGGCAGGGGTGAAGCCAAGGGCAGGTGGTGCCAGGCAGCCCCCCAAGTTTAGCAGAAGACGGAGGCTGTGCAAGGCAAAGCCACCGCCCCTCGGGCTCCAGAGGGTTAATGGGCTCCCTGGCCTGGGGGCTTGTTCTCACTCCCCTGCCCAATCCAGGGATGCCTCGCTGTAATTGAGCCCTCGCCAGATCAAAGGCTCCAGTCGCGCAATCAACACCCCCCTCTTGCCTGGTGGCTGCAGACGCCCTCGGGAGAGCCGGGCTCCGGCACTGCGCTTTGTCTGCCCGGCTCGGCTCGGCTCGGCCCGGCCCGGCCCAGCCATGGGGCCGGCCCCTGCCAAGGCCCGGTTTGCAGCTGGCCTCCTCTGGGCGCTGCTGGGCGCGGCGCTGGGGAGCCGGCTGGAGCTCCCGCTTTTGAAATCCCTGGGCCTGAGCGCCAAGCCGACCCCCAGGGCCCCGGCCCCGGTGCCCGCCGTGCTGTGGCGGATCTTCCAGCGGCGAGCGCTGCCTTCCCCCGGGGACACGGCGCCCGGCCGCGCCTGCAGGGTGGAGGAATTTAATGTCCCGGGGAACATCATCCGTGTCTTCGCTGACCAAGGTACAGAGCCTCCGGGATGCTGGTGCCTGCCCGGCAAACCTCGGGGTTTGGGGGCCAGCCCGTCTGGGGTTTCTTCCTCCTTCCTCACCCCCGGCTGCGGGCGCCTTGCCCCGTCGGGGAGCCTTTGCGTCAGGCCGAGTGGTGTTCGCTGGCGAGAGGCAGTGGGGGCCAGTGGTCGGAGCAAAAGATTGGGCCCTGGGGCTCCTGGGGTCGAGTATCAGCGCTGCGCCTGACTCGCTCTGCAAGCTCAGGCAGGTCGCTGCTCTGTGCCTCAGTTTCCCCAGCCATAACGTGGCAAATAATCTCTCCAGGGTGAGAGGAGTAGGAATGTTTGTGAGACACGTTGGGATCCTGCAGGACAGTGCTAGGGCGACCAGATAGCAAGTGTGAAAAATCGGGACGGGGGTAGGGGGTAATAGGCCTCTATAAGAAAAAGCCCCAAATATCGGGACTGTCCCTATAAAATCGGGACATCTGGTCACCCTAGCTGTGGCTGAGTAGTTGTTGTACCTCCACCCTTGCCCGCTTCCTCTCACATCCTGGGAGGGACTTTTTCTATGACTGGCGCTTATCTAAAGAAACCACCAGGACAGAAGACGCTGGGGATGTGATTTCAGTGCCCTGTAGTGCACATCCCCGGAGCACTGTCCTGGCCCTGTCTGATACCCACCCTTCAGTTCTGTAATACTCCTAAACGGAAGGGCCTTTATTTCCCATAAGCATCAGGCCTGCACAGATTTTAAAGGAACTGGGGACAGTGGGGCTGGAGTTACAGTTCCTTAGCTGGGTGCGATTAATGCAGCTGCTGCGTCTCCAGTGGCTTCACTCAGGTTTGCATTCTTGTCTTCCAGTTAGGGCAGAGAATGCAGAAACGACTGAGCGCCCAGTGTGCTGGGGACTGGCACACCACCAAGGCCTGCCTGGGTCTCTCTTTGAGCCTGTGGCACTGGCTGCAGGCCTGGCTCCCACCCCATCATTTGATCCTTGTACCTTAGCTGGACTTGCAGCATCTCCTGCTGTTTGAGCCCGGGGCCTCTCCGGGCCCTTCCCCGTTGTTTGCTAGACCTTAGGATGAGGCCCCACTAAACTCGCTTCTTTAGTGATCTGTTGTTTCCAGGTGAAATCAGGGTCTGAGTCCAAAGGGCCCAGCAGACCGGTCCTGTTCTAGCAGTTCTTGGTACAGCAGCACCAAAATGAGCAGGACCTTCTGCACTCCGTGCTGTGAAGGAGGCAGGTGTTACCCTTCTCTTACAGATGGGGAAGCTGGTCTAGTCACTCTCCTAGGATCAAACAGCGAGCGGCAGAGAACCCACGAGTGCTGACTCCCAGTTCTATTCTTCAGCCACAAATTCAAACTACTCAGCCCCAAAGCTTAGGCAGACCTTTGCCTCTGGTGCTGGCTTGTTACTCTTGTGCAGTCTGCCACTTTCTCTTAGCCAAGCAGCTTTCACCCAGCAGCAGGGACTCGTGGATAATTATTGCCATGGGGAACCTCTGCTGTGGTGAAGCTTCCAGATGATGCCAGGGTAGTGGGAGCCTCGCGCCCCAGCAGTGACTGGCTGAGGGGGCAGCTGTATCTTTAAAATACTGCCCTGAACCAGGGCCCAGTGTGTGAGCGAACTCTCTGGGTTCCCTTTATCCTCTGGGGGGCAGAGAAGCACGCCCCTCAGCTCCCCACCCGCAGCATGGAGTGGGATCGCATCCTCCCTCCTCGCACTGATCAGAGGGTGGGAGTGAATCTGTCAGACTCGTTCTGCTCCTCAGGAGAGCCCTGACTTTGCACTGGGAGAGTGGCAGAGCAGAGCTGAGTGTGGACACGGACAGCGTGCGGCATCCAGGCGCAGGCTGAGCCAGGAGTGTAGTTGATGGTCAAGGCAGGTATTGGGGAAGTGAAGTTTGCCCGCTTCTCATCTGGGGAATGAGGAGTTCAGGTCAGGTCAGGTTTATCCACTTCCTTTTTGGCTACTTTGCTACTGCTCTGAATCTCACTGTGTGTGTGGGGAGGCCCCTTCTGCTCAAAGAACGAACGCCACCTCCTCTGTTTTCCTTCCCTCAGGCCACTTCATTCACAGTGGGGAGCCCAAGACTTTCCTGTGTCTGGAGAAACGTCTGTACTTTAATTTCTCTGTGTTGGAGGAGGGGGAGCAACTGACAATGGCTCAGCTGGAGATCAACTTCAGCCACAACTCCTATCACACTTCCAGTGGCAGGCAGGTCTTTGAGCTGCGGCTGTACCAAGCCCTGCAGATGTCTCTGCGGGGAATGTCCTCCCACATGTACAACCATAAGCTGCTGGTGGCGCAATCCTTCGCACAGCTGCACAAGTCCCTCCTCTTCAACCTGACCGAAGTGGCAAAGGGCTGGAGAACCCCCAGCAAGAACCTGGGCTTGATCCTGGAGATCTCGGTGGGCAGCAGGGACAGCGCCTTGGCCTTGCCGCCCCGAAGGCTGCAGAACCTCTGTGCCAGCATCGACTCCTTCCTTGACACCTCGCTGTTGGTGGTGTCCCTCAATCAGAAGCAGTGCCAGGCCTCCAGGAAGAGGCGAAGCTCCTATTATACCCCGGTCACTCCAAGCAACCTCTGCAAGCCAAGGCGGCTCTACATCAGCTTCAGTGACGTGGGCTGGGAGAACTGGATCATCGCGCCGCAGGGATACATGGCCAACTATTGCCTCGGGGAGTGCCCCTTCCCACTGACGGCAGAACTCAACAGCACCAACCACGCCATCCTCCAAACCATGGTGCACTCCCTTGACCCAGAAGGAACCCCCCAGCCCTGCTGCGTCCCAGTGAGGCTGTCCCCCATCTCCATCCTGTATTATGACAACCATGATAACGTGGTGCTGAGACACTATGAGGACATGGTGGTTGATGAGTGTGGCTGCAGATAATGGAGCTGCTGATCGAGATGTGAATAGGAAATCGAATGGGTCTCAGAGAACGGTCAACGGCTGGAGTAACTGGGATTTTTGGTTGATGTAATAGGTCAAAACGTATTAAATCTCCTTCATGTGGGTGGGTAGGGACCCTCCCTTCCATCCCTTGGTGCAGTTAATGGCGGAACTACCCCTTTGATGCATAGTGGCAAAATGCAACCTCAAAGGGGAAGCTCTTGACTTCTGGCATCAAGAGGATAATGCAGTTTGGGATTCTAATGTAAGGCTGATTGGCTGGAGGCATCAGGCTTCCAAACTCCCACCTGCTGGTGGTTTCATCCACCTGGAGCCTTGCTGGGAACCTGGTGAAATCTAATGGTGATAGTCTGAGCCTCCCCACCTCCCTCCTCATGCTGCCCCAGTGCTGAGCAGAGGATGGTGGCACCAGCTTGTTAGTCCCTGCACTCCTCTCCCTGTGCCACCTTCCTCGGTTCTGACCTGGAGGCACTGGTGTATGGCTGGAGCTGGTGCCCATGACATTGAAGAATGAGATCTGCTGGCTCTTCAGTGCCCCATAGGCCCCGCACCCTTAGCTTGCCCACGCTGGTAGGAACAGCAGCACCGTCCACCATTGCTCTAAGGAGCAGCTCAGCTGGAGCCTCAGCTTCTTGAGCTAAGTGGCGTGAGTTTAGCATGGATTTATTTTTCCAGAACAGGAAGACAATTTGGCTAAATTCTGCCTTCTTTCCAGTGAGTGAAGAAACGACCAGGCCTTTCTCCTCCACTGGGCTGCACTGCAACTAAAACATCACCTCTGCCTGGAGCCTGCTAACGCATTGCTCTTGAAAGGGCATTACTGGTACCAGCTATTAGATGCCAGGGCAGAGAAGGACAGTGGGGCCTGGGGAAGTGAAGTGACTCAGGGTGAAGAGGTATGTTCTCAAAGTGAGAGAATTCTCACTGGAACATCCTAGCAATGTAAAACACACCTTTTTGTGGTGAAGACGTAGCCTAAGAGGTCAGGCTCTGGCTTTTGAATAATGCAAGAAGCCTGGCTTGGAAAATTTGGCCTAAATTTGTTTTTTAAGGAGCCATCAATTTTCGGTGTCCAACTTGATGGAGGGGTGCTGACTTATTGCAGGAAAAAAAATCCCAGTGGCCAAACTATTTCAAAACAAATTTAAAGAATCAATGAATTGTCTTTAAAGTATTACGTGTTACCCACTGAGCGTGAATCTAGTCGATAGCTGGCAATCAGGCAGATAGCTGCAGAAAGCAGTAGAAAGATGAATAGACAAGGTCTCCTTTTAAAAAAATGTTTTCACCTTGATTGTCAGAGTTCTCTCAGTAATAGGGACAGAAAACTATTCCCCG